TTTTTTTTAAAGATTTTATTTATTTATTTGACAGAGAGAGACAGCGAGAGAGGGAACACAAGCAGGGGGAGTAGGAGAGGGAGAAGCAGGCTTCCCCACAGAGCAGGGAGCCTGATGTGGGGCTCGATCCCAGGACCCTGGGATCACGACCTGAGCCGAAGGCAGATGCTTAACGACTGAGCCACCCAGGCGCCCGGAAAACAAACTTTTTTTTTTTTAAAGATTTATTAATTTTTGAGAGAGTGAGAATGAGAGAGAGAGAGAGAGTACATGGGAGCAGGGAGGGTTAGAGGGAGAAGCAGGCTCCTCGCTGAGCAGGGAGCCCGATGTGGGACTCGATCCCGGGACTCCAAGATCATGACCTGAGCCGAAGGCAGTCGCTTAACCAACTGAGCCACCCAGGCGCCCCGGAAAACAAACTTTTAACACCCGTGACGCCGTGCAGTTGGAAGGGTTAGTCAAAGAGCAAAATCAAAAAGCAACCGCTAGGCAATGGACTGGCAGAGGATTTACAAAGCTTTCTGGCCCTCATACTTCCAGGGAGTATGTGCTGAGGTCAAGACCTCTGTGGCACCCTGAAAGGGGGCGGACTTCCAGGGGTATCTTCATTTATTCCCAATGGGGTGGGAATAAGACCTGTTCTAGCCTCGGACTGGATACTAGTTCATTTCCGTTCTCTGAAGGAGCAGTCTCTGTGGTCTCTGCGGAGCTGCCTGGGCATATCCGGCACACGAATGTGAAGCTCCCAGCATTCTCTGCAGTTCTCACACAAGGGACTTGAGCTTCCTATCTACCTCATCGTAAATAAAGCTAATTATACCCACGGTGTTCACTGCATAGGCTACAAACCCAAATGGGCACAGTCACAAATGTGGGCCGTAACTTTTTAGCTGGTTGACAAAGCCAGCCACTAAAATAAGCTAAAGCCAGGTCCCGTCATTCATATCAGTTCCATTAAACTCTTCTAAGAGACTCCTAATTTTGAGGCAATTGGAGCCTCAGATAGCCTTAGGTCACAGCCAAGAGCAGCTTGTAAGGCAAATGATCCTGTATGGTGATGGCACTCCACCCATTAGTATCGTACTTACGAAACCTTATTGACCTAGGATGGAAATACTTACTACCTGTCATCGATCCTTTCATTTCCATGCAATTATTTACTTCCCAAACAATCCTACCGACGAATTGCACCCAAATGCAAAGCTAGCCACACCAAAAGATTTTTATCCTAATGAAAAACGTAAGCAAAAATACATGTCATGAAATCACATACAAAGCTACATTTATTAACAAATTCATTTCCTAATAAAATACCATCTGCAAGCTACCCTCAGTTTCCACTTGATATAAATAGGTCTTTTACTGTTTTCAGATGCAGTTCCCAGAAAACTCTTCTAAGCTTAACTGCAGAACACATCAGTCTTTATTTGGGGGGGGGGGTTGCCTGGAATGTTAGTAAATTCTGTAAAACTAAGTTTTTAAACGAGTTAGTTTGTTCCAAACACATGCTTCAATTGAAAAGCTGACCTTTTGCAATAAAGTTGGTTAGACTCCTAGAATCCTTATCATTGATACAGAAGTTCTAAGAGGCAAGGAAATGTTTCGAGGATGAGCCATAATTAAAATTTCCCCACTCGACACACAAGCAAACGTGGGCACACGCACACGCTCATTACATTTCAGTAATAGTTCATGTCTCCCAACTCACAAGTGTATTCATATCTGCTTATTCATACATCGTAGAATGCTGTCTGTTTTCTGGTCATTCAGCCCCCACTCCCCCCCCCACTCCCAAATGCACTTCACTAACACACAGGTCGGCCTCTCTCACTAAAGCCAGGGACAGAGGGGGGAATACTCACAGAGACCCCGTGACTGCTCTCTGGACAAGCCCTTTTAGCAGTAACTCCAAGGAATAATGCTACCACTCATCAATGATGGCTACTTTGACTGGGGACCCAGAACCCAATGCCTGGACCTCTCGGCGCCAGAGACTGGGGCTGAATTCTCATGCTAAGTGCTTTTGAAAAGTGCATCAAGATTTGATAGGGTGAATTTCCAGACTTGGTCAGAGTTTCAGCCACATAAACTCCATTGGGTGCAAAGCTCTATAACGCTCCACCCTGTCTATATTTATGCCCGCGTTTTAATCTACACCCTTGTAAGCTCCCGGGCAGGCTGTGGGATCTCTCATTTCCCTTCATCCTACCCTCAGTTTTCCCATTACCCTTGAAGGCAGTATGTTCTCCTGTCTTTAGGGCCCTAAGCTTCTGTCCCACCCCTCTTTCAAATCCTTCCTTGAGACCTAGATTTTAAGATAAGTACTCTCTCCGCTGATCTCTCATCATGACTTTATTGCATTTGACCCATTTTTCGTACAAGGCTCTACCAAAGTCTATTTGTACGATCACCAAAGGCTGCGTGCACACAGGCGGCTCCTTGGATCATCACCTCCAGAGCTGAAGACAGCTCAGACCCTCTTTGGAAATGTACCACTCATTGGTGTGCCAGAGCATTGAGCAAAAAAAAAAAAAAAAAAAGCACGAAGTCGTTTCTGAATCTGGGTCAGCCATGTTGTGAATGTACAAGAGAGAGAATTACAACAGAGTGAATCTCACTGGGTCTGTGACCTGTCACTCGGCTAACAAGGTATGGACGCAGGCTGAACAGAACTCTTGATGGGCCAGTGCCATTCCGAGACCAGCCTTGAGTGATGGCACTGCCATAGACACCAGCGCAAGAGAAGGGACAAGAATGACATCCCAGCCTCTCATTATACTCCTCTCTCGAGGCAGGCTTCTGTTTGAATACTAAGCATTACAATCCCATATGAAGTCATCCAATGGGAATTAGGATGAGGATTTCCAAACAACTGTGCAGGAGAAGAGCAGAGTAAGACAAAGGCAGATGGGGTACCATTCAAGAGATATAATTGAGGATGGATTTTCTAGCATTTGTTTACCTTGGTTCATATTAGTTGATTAACACCATGGCTTAGGAAATGTACTCGAGTAACCATTTTTGAACTTCATTCATTCAACAAACATTTATTAAGTATCTACTATGTGCTGGCATTTGCTAGGCGCTCGGGATACAGAGAAGAAGGACACGTTCCTTGCTCTCCAGGAGCTCACAGTCTAATAGAGGAGACACACATACACAAGTGACTACGGTACATGAAGTAAGTGCCAGTCAAGGTGTACGTAAGGCGCTAGAGGAGCCCGGAGGAAGCAGTCTGCAGTAAGCCTGGTGGAGTCAGGGAAGCTTTCACGGAGAAAGGGACAATCGAGGAAACTTGAAGGAGGAACAGGACTTCACCAGAAGACAAGGGAGGGTAGGGAAAGAGGTTCTAGGATGAGAGAACGGCAGGCACAAAAGCAAGGAAGCGTGATAACGCATGACATGATGGGGAACCACAGGTAGCTCCACGTGGCTGGAACTTCATCTGCATGTGAAGAAATGGTGAAATGGGAAGTCAGAGAAGGAGCATAGAATCAGAGTGAAGAGCTTTGTATGCAGGGCTAAGAAATCTGGACCTTGTCCAGGAAGCAATGAAAAGGCACGGAAGAATCCAAAACAGGGAGTGACATGGCTGGATCTGCCCATTAGGTCAGCCTGGATGGAGGATGGTTTGGCAGAGAGGTGAGACCAGAGGGAGGGAGAGTAGAGAGAAGGGGCCATCATAGGGGCCCATGGGCGCTCCGAAGGTGGGGAGGGTAAAGAGGTGACAGGCTGGAGAGATACTTAGGAGGAAGCTTGACAACTTGATGAATGATGATACAAGAAGCAAAACCACCTCAGAGATGAAACGATATGAAAAGCATGCATTCCCAAAATACAACCGACAGCCCTGTTCCTCCCTCCCTTCGTGGTCCCATCGTCCTCCGCAATCACCGTGTCTGCTGAGTACGAGTAACGAATAACGAGTAACGGCGCGAGAGCCAGAGGCGCACATGGTCAGACTTCTCTAATTCAGACACCACTAACTTGGAATCTGCAACAATTCACATCGACTGTCTGTGCCTCCTATTGAGTAAGAATTTCAACCTACTTTCTTCCTCTGTGTCTTTTCAAGCCTTTAGGCACCAGTAACAGGAATCCAATCTAAAAGCAGTGGCTTCTTCCAATCAAGCGCTGGAGGTACAGTAGGCAGCCGCTTACATGGTGGTATCTGAGAGGCACCCAATACATGTCCCCCACCCAGGAGCCATAAGGCCTGGGATCCAATCATTTAGCGATTCACTCCTTTGGGAGAGGCTTGGGTCCCTCCGACTTCTCTTTTATAAGGCAATGATTCCTGAGATGGGTAGGACATTTAGTCATTCTAAACCCAGTGGGACTGTGGTTGAGCACAATGCCTTTGGCCTCGACAGAAGGGATCAAGGTAGTCAAAAAGGGTTATGGAGGTACCTGTGGAAGACCGTGGTACAGAAGGGAAGACTGAGGGATGCGGAAGATAACGTTAGGATCTTGCCAAGGAATGGCCCTGCAAGCACTCAAGAAACTAAGATTCTTAAAGAACGCCTTCCACTTCCGATGCCAGCAAATCACACTTTTACAACATTCTCGTACCTTAAGGAGCTTCTGTGTTTTATGCTTATGAGATGCTATTTGCTAGTGAAGGCCTGTGGTGATTCCCAATCTTTTCCTGGACCTCACGCTGCTTATGACCAATTATAATCTCCAGTGTTATTAATCTGTATATATGACTAAAAGTGCACTCTCTGAAACTATTTTATAAGTGCAACTTTTCATTCACTCAGACTGACCTTGTCTGTTGCCATTCCACGTTATAGATATTTAACCGTATTTGCAGAATGGTAATCAGTCAAGTCACAAGCGACAGAAGATCGAGACTCAGACTCTGACCTTGAAGTGTCTCATCTATGGCTCAAGAAGGTAAATAAGAGCTGCTTGTGAATACTCGATTATAGAGGTTAGAGCAGTGAACTAAAAAAAAAAAAAAAATGAAACAAAACAAAACTTTAAAAATTACTTACTTCACTTGTTTGGAGAATCGTGAACTTTGGCAGTTTAGGCTTTGAACTGGCTGCACTGGGTTTTCCATCCAAGAGTGATCCAAATGACAGATTCCCAAAGCTGTTCTCAAATTCAATGGAAGGTTTCAGTGTCGGAGGGACGTCTGGTGCCTGGTCCTGGCCATCCATGGGTCTGACATATGCAGTTGGCTTTTGCTGCCCCATGTTTGTTTTGCAGTAAAGCCCTGGTGGAAAGTTCTGAACCGAAAGGCCACTGCTGGGAGCTAACAAAGAGGAGGCAACTAGAGGAGACCCAGGAGCTTGCACTGTAAATTCAGATTCTTCTGGTGAGACGGACTGAAAGATTTCCTTGAACGTATCCCCTGCACTGGACTTGAGACTACTGTCTTCTTTTGCAGAAGCGTCTGACCCTTCAACGGCTCCGACCTGGGGCTGTTCAGCTGGGTAGACAAAGAAGTCTTCCAGTCGGGCTGGGGGCTGGTCCTGTGTAGACGGCGGCAGCTTGTTTGGCTGACCACTGGCCTGGCTGGCTGGGACAACACTAGCGTTATGACTATCGCGTGGCCAGTCAGCTTTTGATTTCCTGTTGCTGTGTATGAGAGTGGAATTCAGTATCACGACGGAAGGTGGAGGCATTGGTGCCGAGGGGTGAGTGCTATCCTGGTGAGGTGGGAGCATTCGGTTCTTTTGTTCTGGGAAAAAGCTCGGTTCATTTTTGTTGATGGGAGTCTGGGGCACAGAATTCTTTGGGATCCCCACTAGATGATTCTGATTAGAATGGTTAGTTAGCAAATCCTTCATTTCATCATAGTTTCCCAGCGTGTTCTGGACTCGGTTGGCAAGTGCATCCCCTTTGTTTGTCTAAAATAACAAAAAGATGGGGGTGGGAGGAGAGAGAATGAATAGGTTTGTGTTTCCTAATGTTCATGTTTCAAACAGATGTCCTAAGTAGACTAGCATATAGGGTTCTTTAAAATTCTCATGCTGCCATATAATTTCATACTTTTCCTGTGCTATGTAAGAAAAAAAATCAATAACACTATTGAAAGAGCCTCTTGGAATGAGCTGTGTGATTAACGTCTGTGTACTCCCTGGCCTGTCCTTAAACACGCTCACTGGGAGAAAGTTTCAAATTATGTCACTTATGAATTTTATTAGCAAAGTAACTTATTTTAGGTCAGATGAGCTGAACGGTTACATTCCATATTGTGATGAACAACTTCAGCTTAGTGATCACTGGAATTGTAATGGAACGTTCGACTTATATTTGTTCTTGACAGGTCAGCCCTTTGCGCCACATTATACCATGAAAAAGGCTTAGCCCATTCGATCAGGAAGTCAGTGAAATTGTGCAATCATGAATATATTGGTTTGAGATGTTGAGAAAAGCTCAACATCTAATTGAGCTAACATGACTAAAGCGAATCTAATTCCTTTTAATCAAAGGACTGTATAAATTACTGGTGTCTGCCCACATATTCTGGGGGCAACTGTGTCTACATATTGATGATTCATACTTGTTTACTTTGAAATGGTGCAATTGTTCATCAACACTGACTCAAGCTCTCCTGTGTCTTTTCAATGATTTAGAAAAATTTATTCAAGAATTTTAAACTGTTGCTTACGTAAATCAAAACAAAGCCAGATTTCCAAAGTGATGTTGGCAACTAAATCATTCTATGGACAATCAACAGACCAGCTATATCACTCCCCTGTAGGAAATACTAATCTTGTTAAAAATGGCTGTGGTTGTTCTTCAAATAATTAAGTTGCTGCATGGGTTTCTGTGATACAGAAAGCACAGCTTTCCTAACTAGAAAATGGCGGAGAGCTATATGCTTGGAAATGACTTTGACGAAAGCTCAGCTGTTCATCTTCAAAACTGACTTTTTATTATTCCCTGTACCTGCCAAAGGGGTTCTCAAAACAAGCTGTTGGATTTGAAAGGGCAAAGGACTTCTTTTGTGCTTAAGTTGCACTATTCTGGCCCAAGATGTTGCAATAAGACAAGGCTACTAGCCTCCACGGAGCCATGCAGCACCGGGACCACTGGATGGGGAAGACGCCCACCCTATGTAGCCTCTGGGTCCCCGGGGGCCATAGGCCTTCTCTCCATGCAGGGGAAGGGGTGACAACTTCCCCACTGATACAGCCTCCACTTGAAGACAGATGTTTAACTTCCCAGATCTCTCACATGCCCTTAACCCAGCCCAAGCTCCTGGCATCCACGGGGAGTGTGCCTATCCAAGTCTGGGATCTCAGTCCCGACCTAGGCTGTCTGGCTGTGTGCTGTTCTCTGTATGTGAAGATGGAAGTGTGCAGATGAATGGAGGGTGAAGTGCTGGAAATGGATGAAATCACCCAGAGAAAGAAAATACAGAATGAGAAGATCAGGCTCAGGGGGCAACCCTGGGGAACATCAACCTTTAAGCGACCGAGAGAAGAAGAGGAGCCAGCAAAGGATACCAAGAAGGAGCAAACAGAGAGGGAATCAAACTGGTGACCTTGGTCCCGTCGTTAACATGATCTCCGTGTACTGTATGCAGTATCCAACTCATAGCATGTGTGAAATCATATAAGACATTTCCAAAGAAATGAGGGCAGTGAGGGAAATAGGATTCTAGAGATTATGGAGAAGTATGTTCAATATATGCTACAAGGGTCCTGTTGGAGGTGGGGAATTTTAGAAATCCAATGTCTGTTTCAGCTTTCTTATCCACAAGAACATCTGATATTGCATCACATGCAACCTTGGTGCTAAAGCAGTGATTAAACAATTAACGTTCCACATAATCCTCAGCTAAATAATCTCTCCATTTTCAAAAGTATATTTGAAAGGCCTATTTAATAGATAGAGATGGGTAGAAATCACTTTTATTCCTTGAAAATCCCTAGGTTTGTCCATTTTAATGGCACAAATTACTCTTCAGCCAAGGCCAGAATAAACTCTGGATAGAGTGGTCTCCTTCGACAGTGGTGTATGACTACCCATTTGGGTAGCAGCCAAACCCAGTCTCCCTCCTATTCAGTCCCTTAATTCAAAACAAAGAGATTTCATCATGCTGAGGGCCCAGTAAGAATTTAATGCAAGCTTTAGAGGCACTGGGTGGCTCAGTTGGTTAAGTGTCTGCCTTCGGCTCAGGTCATGTTCCCAGGGTCCTGGGATCGAGTCCCACATCACAACAGGCTCTTTGCTCAGCGGGGAGCCTGCTTCTCCCTCTCCCTCTGCCTGCCACTCTGCCTACTTGTGATTCCCGCCCCCCCCGTCAAATAAATAAATAAAACTGTAAAATAAGAATTTAATGCAAGCTTTAAATACTTACAGAGTTGTTCTGGCCCCTCAAACAGTTTACCTCGTGGGTCAGATGATGGCCTAATGAACACTAATACCTGACTATCTTCAAGGATCTGACCCAGTAAGGGGGAAGATGACACCATTTCATTTCCCATTTTAAATGCCTTTGTTTTATACCATCTCATTTCATGAATTTGGATATTGCTTCCTTCCCTCACACAAAGAGCATTCTATAAGAACTTTTCCCTTTTTGCCTTAGCTACCAGGAAGCTCATCAAAGTTCAAGTGACTGAACTTCCCTTGAGAGCTTACTGGACTTTCATTGAAAGTTCATTGAGCTTCCAGTGAAACTGAGCCCTACAGCATCAGAACCTTGCCTTGAGATGTCAAAGAGACCAGGATAATATCTCAAAGTCCTGACAAATAATTCACTCTCTCCAGGTCAAATGTAATCAAGACTCAAGAACCTTATGATTCATTTGCTTGCAAGCAAGCTAGTCACATTCCTGTTCCTGTTCAGCAGTAAATAAAAGGGACATGCTCATCTTTTCTTCAATGGAGAGAACCTTGGTTAGGTTTGAACGTCTCTTCATTTATTTCTACTGTTATAATGATCTGGGTTTCCAATGCATGCTAAGATTTTTTCCCCATCTCTAGGTTTTAAAGTATGTTTGAAATTAGGAAAACTTCTAAACTGGCCAATGTCTAAAACTGCGTCTACGTAAAGAAAATTAGAGGAAAATTAAAAGTTCTCTGAATACATCTAGAAAATCAACCTCCTACCATATAGGGTATACTACAGTAATTTCTTTTCCTGCATAAAACTATGAGCTCTTAAAGGTCAGAGACCACCTTTTGTTCACCTTTATGTCCTCAGGACTGAGCACCGTCAGGTGCATATCAGATACTCAAAAAATTGTTGCTGACATGAATAGAATCCAAATATAATTCATACCCTACCTATATCAAAATAAAGGCTTCGCAATAGCTTGGAGTAAAAGGTACATATATAGAAAAGCAAAAGTCAGGCTGACTTGGTTACCATGATTGAACATTAAATTGAACTTTGAGCTTCCTGGTAGCTAAGGCAAAAAGGAAAAACTCATAGCTTACTGAATTCTCTTTGTCTGATGGAAGGAAGCATATCTTAATTTACTAAATAAGACAAATGGTTGCCAGATACTAAAATGTAAAAAGGAATTCTTCTCATTTGTTCAGTTATAAGAACCTTTGAACATGGGGCACCTGGGTGGTTCAGTCAGTTAAGCATCCGACTCTTGGTTTTGGTTGAGGTCATGACCTCATGGGTCGTGAGCTTGAGCCCCATGTGGGGCTCCTCGCTCAGTGTGGAGTCTCCTTGAGATTGTCTCCCTCTCCCTCTGCCCCTCCCTCTGCCCATCCCCCTGCTCTCTCTCTCTCAAATAAATAAATCTTTTTTTAAAAAGAACCTTTTAACAATAAAACAATTTTTCAGCACCAATGTTACAGAAGATGCAAAGATGTTCTTCATGTGGCTTTTTCTTATGATGACTAAAAAAAGAGCATTAAAGTCTAACTCAGTGAAGGCGTATCTATATGTGGAGTTTGGGGGCTAAGCTAATAGCTCCAGGTGTGGGGTTTTCCTGTGCACAAAAGACACAGGGCCAGAGCTGGCATAACTTGGAGGAATGAAGGGGTGTCAACTCCCTTAGACTAGCTTCCTCACAGAGCAATGGTCTCAGAGGGACTTGTGAGTGGAACTGCACAGCTGACAGTTCAAGGTTGAGTTCACTGGTGACACTTTCTGAGTTGCTGATTGAAGGAAGATCCATATGCTTTGCATAACAGACGTGCTGTGGCTACAAGTAGGAATTACCATGGTCATGCTTAAGACACATACTGGTAAATTCAAAACAGTCACGAGGCAGGGTTAGGCATGGAGGACACACAGACACATAGCCTCAAAAAGTCCACCATTTAACAATCTCCAAATAAATTAGCAGCACAGTCCGGATCGCCTGAGTCGCCTCTCTGCCTTTCTACCACCGGAGCTGGATAACTGTCAACCAGTTTTTAAATTTCTCAAGATGTAGATATGAGAGCCACTGGATAGAAAACCCAATGGGGCCTGAAATGCATTTCTGTACGCCTACACGATGCACTCTCATGCACCACAGCAACCTCTGATTCACACCGAATGTTCTTTTGCACCCTCCAGAGTCTTAGTAATCCTATTAAGGAGCAAGGTATTCTTGGCAGTCTCGATTGGACATTATAAACAGGGCAAAAATGAAACAGCCATTTCAATCAATTATGGGCTTCTTTCAATTGGCCAATTCTTTACTTCCCATTCTAGATAATTGGTTGATTCTTAAAGGTAACCTCTGCAGCTCTTACTTTCTAAATAATCACAATTTCTCCCTCATCAAGGAAATGCATTTTCCAAGTATTTTCAGGCATAAATTATATGTCTGGTTTGTGGCTCATGACTAACAGCACTCCTTCATTTAAGCTTTTTGCCTCTCATTACTCTAAGAAACACAAAGTTGCCTCAGTTTGCTTCCAGTGCTATCTACAAATCAGTAGTAGGAGTTCATCACCAGACTAATGCGCTAGGAGGCAATTGTACCATCATATTTCTTTTTAATAAAAAGAAGCAAAATAATTTAAGTTTTGAGGCTCATTTTTTCCCTTTATTTCATTGTGACTAATGTATGTGATTTAGTAATTCCTTTTTTTCCTAATTGTAATATTTTTACAGTTAATCTCTCTAAGCTGTAAGTTGCTATTTCTTTCTTTAATTATAATAACGATAATATCTCGAACTTGTACAGCACGTTCCAGATTTCAAAGCATGGTCTCCCGGCTCATTTGACTTGATCCTTACAACAACCACGTGAGTCAGCAGAGCAGCTCTGATCTCAGTCTGGCTTCTACCTCCCCAACTCAAGTGACCTTGGGTAAGCCACTTAATCCCTCTGTGCCTTGTTTTCCTCATTCTCATACAGTGCAAAGAGCTATAAAATGTCAGTTGCTGTTGTTGCCCTATTATTATTATTATTATCGGGGATTATTTCAAATCAGGTATTATTATTCACTTCAGAGAGGAGGAAACTATAGGTCAGAAGAATGAAGTTTCTTCACCAAAGTCACACAGGAGGTAGGTCAGCTTATCAAAGGTCTTCTGACTTCCTGCGGGAGGAGAAACAGCTTCCTGTTACAGGTACTGAACCACAGAACTGGGTTCTAGATTCACCACTGGCACGGATACGAAGCTGCAGAGAAGCCACTTCACCTCTCTGAGCCTCAAATTCTTCATGGGCAATATGAGGAAAACGAGTACTCCAGTTGTCGTAAGGACTCAACGGGCACATATAAAGCCCTAGCATGTGCCTCGCATACAGCAGGCACTTGCTACACACCAGTTCCTCAACCCGCCCAGTCTTTCCACACTAGCCTAGCCAAGTCAAATAGCTTCACATTTTTCAAGTGCTTTTGAAGACATCCTTCTCAACACCATAGCACAAAGTCAGATTTGAAAGTTATAAGCAACAGAAGCAGCCTCACAGAGAAGTTCCCGACATCACCAACCAAATGTAGGGGTGGTCAACATTCTTTCCATTCTGGGAACGGTAGGGGTGAAGCAACGAATGGAAAGAAATCAGCCAGGATGATGAGAGATCACCATTTCTTCTAACCGCCAAGAAAGGGCAGTGGGTCTTAGGGACCGATGCTCACTGGCTCCTTCACAAACTACCAACACTACTGGACCAGGCCACGTTTTAGGCTTTAGGGTGACAAGAAGTTTCCTGAAAGTCCTGATCCACCACCAGGAGTTTTGATCTTTAATTTGATAAGCATTCCCACCACAACCCTAAGGAAGGGTTGGGGTATGTCCTTGTATCTACCAGTGGACCATGGGCAAGCTCTAAAACTCCCACTGCCGCTGGTGTGTCTAGATACTCCAAGGGTGTCCACACCAGTCCAGGTCTAGGGAGCTGATGGAAGTGAACATCAGTTCTAGCATCATAATATGGGGGAGGGGGAAGGAAAGGCAAACTCTCCAGTGATCTCCCAGGGAATCCTGAACACGGACACAGCATAAGATGGCAGTTGGTCATCAAAGCAATGGTGAAAGAAAGAGAATCACTAGGTCATCAACTGTTAGCTTCATTCCTCTCCTATACGGTCTTGACTGAAGAACAACAGCTCTTCCCCATCAAGAAACATAAAGGCAACTGGCTACTAATCACACAATAAACCTGGCCCTGAGCTGGACAAAAGTTCCCACCTAGCATCTCTGCCTGATACACCCTTGTCATAGCAAGACAGATGACTTCTGAAACCTTCTGGCAATGTTGATCACAGGTTTTTTTAACTGCCTACTCAAAAACACACTGCTGATATCTAAAAATAAATATGCATCCATATTGCAGGCCTTGTTAACAAGAGATGGCATTTACCTTAAAGGTACAAGACCATTAATTCAACATGACTTAAAGCTATAAAGAGGGGATAAACCAAGGGTTCTACACCGCATCGTGGTAATAGCATTGAGCACGGAGTAGAGTTTGAACTTTAAGAATGACTCTTTGAGTAAAGCTCATTTTTCTAACTCATCCAAAGATAAGACGTCAAACTCATCTGGTTATTCCTCTTTCTCAAGAAGGGAGAAGGCATCCACCATCCTTTGACCTCTCTTCCATTTTCTGGAAAAGAATGGAGGCCACAGCATCTTGCCATGGCTGGTCACTCTTCACACACTCTTGATTTTGTGCTTGCTCACCTTCTCCGGGGTCCTGCCCCGCTCACCATCACCTCTTCCTCCGGTCCCTTCGCCCTCTCCCTCTTGACTGACATCGGGTTCTTCCCATCAATCTCCAAACATGTTCACATTTCTCCCATTATGGAAAAAAAAAAAAAAACCCTCTTTCCATATAATTTCTCCCCTCAGGTTCTAACCTATCTTCCTTTCTTCCCCCCTCCAAACAAGAACTTGCTTCTCATTTACTTACGGAGTCCAGGCAGTTCACTTCCCACAATGAGCACCACCATCAACAAATAAAACAACTCTCCCTAAGGTCATTGATCCCCCCGCCCCCTTAACTACCAAATCCAACAGCCACTTTCCAGTCCTGACCTTTCCTGCCCTCTCGGACACAAATAACTAACAAAGCCCTCCTCCATAAAACCCTGTATCCCCTTCATTTCTATTAAATGTTTCTCTCCCAGTTCTCCTCCTACCTCTGTGATCATTCACTCCTTTGTCGGTTCCTTTCCTGGCATCTACTTTGCCACCTGCTTAAATGTTGCTGCTCCCCAAGATTCTCTCTTTGTCCTTCTTACTCAGTAATCTGACGGCTTCCACTGCCACCTCCCTGCTCACACCTAACTCTCTCTGTTGAGCACTCTCATTAGCTCCAGATTCCTACACCCAATGCCTACCGGATAGGTCTCTCTTCATATCCCACCAGCACCTCAAACCAAATGTGCCCAAAACAGAATTATTTTTTTTTTTCTTCACAAGCACCAACCCTGTTTCCTCCTGAACAACCTGTTTACCGAGACTGCCATCTTCTCAAGTCAAAAATACGGGACTCATTCACTCCTGTCCCACCTTTTCCACAGCCAGTCAGACACCCGGTCTCGTCATGTCAACTTCCTTGCGCTACCTTAAGTCCCCCCTGCCATGAGCTCCCCTTAGCTAACTACAAAAGCTTCTTTATCTGCCTTCTCATTTGCCTCACCTCCAACAGACTCACCACATTGCCAACATCATCTTCAAAATTCTTTGTCCTGGCCACGCCCTTACTTGAAAGCTTGCGGTGACTTCTCTTCATGTACGGAATTGTGTCCAAACTCCTTGGCACGAGGTACCAAGTCTCCCCTAACCTCTCCCCTGCCTACCTCTGTGACAGCTGCCCTGCACTCATGCCTTCCGTCACTTGTGATGAGGTCTTACTCCTCTTCGTGCATTCACCTAAGACGTGACTAGCACGTAGTGGGCCTTCAACAAATGTTCGCCAAACTCATCATATCACGTGTTCAAAGGCAGTATGTAAATTAAGTCAAGTGAGATAGGAGAAATCCTTTCTTAAGGACTATACTATTATTGACAAATTGGAAAGTAGTAATTGAGGTGACCTAACTCTCTCGGTCAGACTTACCAAACTCGGAAGGCACCCGAGTCTCAGTCAAGAGCTGCTCACTTATCATGAACAAGGCAGCAAGACTCTGGTCTCAGTGGTCACCGAGCCAAAGAGCTTCCTCTCTACCCCAAAGTGGTATTTGTGCTGATGCTGTCCTTTCCTTTTCCAGAAGTCATTGTCCCCTAATTGGTGCCCTTCTAAAAGCACGACTCTCAGAAATTTCCCTCTATTGTTGTTTTAACTCTTACATCATTTTGTTTCATTACGGAAAATTACACTGCTAGTAAATTTCAGTAAACACCAACCAGCTGCCAGCAATTCCCCAAGATTCTTCCCCCAAGCCCCACCCCGAATAGAAAGTTCAGAGGCAGTCATTGTGAAATCAGTACTTGCAGACAGAGCAGTAGGAGTGTTACTGGAGCTACTAACTAGCTAGAACACCGCCAGGCAATCAACCTGGCTATGCTACCCACCCACACCCCCCCCCCCCGGCTGAGGCAATCTCCTCATCCAGGATGATTAACCACCAGGAAAACATGATGGCTTCTCCCTTTCTCCTAGAACAAGGATTTTCAAAGATCACTCAAACCACTCCACACTGCTGACAACCTAACCTGGGGAAGGAAAGCAGTGGCCTCGCTTGCAGGGGATGGCACTGATCGGGAAGGAAACACAGCCACTGACTTTCTGATGAAGTCTTCAGGGGCTGCCTTGCCAGCAGCCAAGTCAGGGAAACGCGTCAAGGGGCATCACTTAGCTCCAGAAGTGCTGGGCCGGAGAGAACCCCTCGGAGATAGGAAGTCTCACTAGTCCAGTTGAAATCTGACTGTCCTCCCCAAAGAAGACAGAATTTGTCTCTGAAGACTTCTTCAGAAAGCTGCAATTGCCCCACGTACAGTGTATGTATAGATTTCATTTGTCAAATATATTCTCCTGGAAATGATTTGGGTGCTTTAAAAATAGATTAAATGTTGATTAATGTGTTCAAAAACGTAACAAGCAACCATTTTCCAGAAAGATAAATTACATACATATTCAGCTACCTTGTAGGGCTCCCCAAAAAGATCAAAGCCTGAAGAAAAGAGATCGTCTTCTTGCTGGACTTCTTGACTCCTCCGCTCCCATTCCCTTTTTTTAAGTGCACTACGGTCTTGTTCATAGTGACTGATAGGAAAAGAAAAAGACAAAAGGAGAAAGAGATTAATTAGTCATGTCATTCAGATCTCCCTTGTTATCACTAAGAAGAAAAACACTACAAGCCAAGGCTACCCAAATGGATACACGGAACAGGGAGCGGAGAAACCTTTTCTTGACTCCCAAGGGGTTTAAGATCCTGACCAGTTCTTTGGAAAACAGAAGAACACCGGAAGGTGCTTATTAGAAGCCATACTGATGCCCACTTAAATGTTCCAGGATCCTCTTCCCTTGTCCCTGCTTGAGTACCACAGGCAATTACGGGCTCCCCAAAAGCCAGTCCACTGTGCAGAAAAGTACTGAATTCAAGTTGCTTTGTGTTGCCAACTGCTTAGGGCTCAGAATTCACAGATGTCACACAAAGTCCTAAAGGAAAGGAATTAACCAAGATGTCGCAGACCAACTGTAATTCTGTCCTGAGCCCACAGCCAGAGTTAGCCTGTTGTAACAAAATCACAGGAGAGTTTACCGACATTTTTGGAAGTCTACAAAACACCAAACCGCTCATTCGCTCACACTCCTTTTTTGTGGTGGTGGTTGGGTGGGGGGGGCTTTGCCCTTCTCATGGTCTGTGTCATGGGAGACTGACAGCCTCTTTAGGAAACTCTTCACAAAGAAAGGTGTCTGGCTTGAATGGCAAACAGCTAACAATGAAAGGTGTCAAAAGCCTCGAATGAGCTTAAGGCACACATGTTTTATAAACGCTGTGTAGCTCTGTGACTCATCGCGTTTCAGGCTCTCCCATTGGCGGATCAGTACAGAAGCCTCCAGGCAATATTGAAGATATACTCCGGACCCTGGGATTTTATAGAATGAAACGCTTCCTGACGAAGAATCAGGCAAGAATGTGTGTATTACCTTATAATCTGTAAGTCTCAAAAGTGGTGGATTTTATTTTGTCCATTGGGTTTTCTTTTCCCCTGCTTTTGACCGAAATCTTAACCTGAAGTGAGCACATATATGCAAGGCAAATTTAAATTATATAAACGTATGTAAAATGCCTAGCAGGTGCTGTACAAATGTTGCTTTCCTTCCCCATGTTAATACTGCCATGTTAAGACTTAATTAGATAATTGGCATGCAAATGAACATAATAGCTAAAGGAATTACAAGAGATAAACTGATAGAAGAGTATAGTCGACAGGTTTTGAATACATCCCAGAACTCAATGCCTCTCCTTGGTCGCCTAGTTTACTCATGAGTATCGTAACTTCTAATTTACAAAATAAGAGCCCAGAGCATGAAATATCCATGGCAGCTTAACTAGATATTGATATACATGGAGTGTGAGATGCCACTACACTTAATCATTCCCCTTTCTCCACAGGAATCCTTGAACTGACAGATTCAAAGTGACTTTGATAGCCTTATCTTCTGAATCAACAACACTTCATTTCTCCGATTTAAAAAAAAAAGTGGCAACACTTAAAGGATGTTCAGACGTACGTTATACTTTCACGATACAAACAATGCCAGACACGGAGGAGCTCGCTGGGCCAGGCACGAGGGCGCTCAGCGAATGTTATCACCATCTGGGGAAAACAAAGAAGCTCCAGAGCACTACACAAAGCCCAGACCCCACATCTGGGCCCCGTCTGGTCCAAAAAGATGCCAAGTCCAGATCCTGGAAGGCAGCCTATCTTTTGGAGCCTCAGACACCATCCACAGGGGTGACACTTGCTCACATCATCTCGCCGGTCACAGGCTGAGATCAGAACCCCACACGGTTGCTGTGGGTCACAACCTCTTTTTGTTGGAGGCCGATGCGCGACCAAGCAGACACAGTCACATCTTCAGACCGTGCACACGGAGCACAAGATCGGGCTTGAGCACCATGCACTGGTCGTGTATCACCCAAGCCCATCTTCGGTGTGTCCACATGCAAGAAAGAGAAGGGCGTCAGGGGTGGAGATGGACCAACAGGTTAAAGCAGTATTTAGCGGGGGCGCCAGGAAGGTTTGTTGCAAAGGAAGACACTTCATCTCTTTGCCTGCCACAGCAGATGAGTCTCCACACAAAAACAAGAGCCCAGCGCTCGTGCTTCTGAGGAATGCAAGCAAGATGTCAGTTCTCTAGCTACCTGTTCATTTGGTGCACCTGACAGCCCGGAATGACAGACCCATGGATCACATTTAATTCTCCCATGAAAAGAACTGAAGTACTTTGGTCTCCTGGCTTTGCAAACTACCTTCCTTCTCCTCCGAGGGGAAGATATAATTAAAACCCTGAAGGAAGAGAAGGAGGAGGAGAAGAAAAGGAAATGTGTTTCAACTTGCATGACACCGCGCGGCCAGCAGCCAGGGTACTTTGGGCACTTTCGACCTGGGCTTGATTTGTGAGGAGGCTCTTGGCTCCATTTTGCATCAGTTCATTAGCTACCAAATTCCAGACGAAAATGTGAAAGCAGACTGAATGTGCACATGGGTGTTATCTGTTGCAAGCAAACTGCCTGCTGCATTTTTTAACACATATAACAAAGAACAGTTAATTCTCATATCTCTGGCGAGAATGAATTGAATCTCCACAGAGTACCACCGCTCTTGGAAGGCAACCAAATCGCTCCAACTTCTTCCTCTTTTGCTCAGCATGGCATTGTATTGAAAGCTTCACAGGGCGAGGTATAATGGGGAATGAACTACATGGTGATGAGGCTTTCACAGTGTAGAACGTCACTGATTTCTGACTGAAACCAAAATTACTAATTTGAAGCACCAGCTAATTAAAACCACAGCTATGTATTTAGCCTCTTATTATACCTACTGCAGTTTATAATTATGAGGACCTCTTTACTCAATTAAAGTTCTTATGATTCAGGCAGGTTGCATTTGAACCTGTGAGCCCCGCGGGGGCCACAGGAAAGCATATGGCTGTCCCCCGATGACGGGATGTACCTTGTACACTCCTGGGTTTGTTTTCCAGAGAAAGGAAGGGCTCCACGGCCCATGAAGAAATGCTCAGGCCAGAAATGTGAATGAATCACCGTATGATTGGGCTAAACAATTCAAATTTATTCACACTGATGGAGACTGGGGGAATTGGTCCTATCAGTGTGAAAACCCACTTCCCTGTTGGAAGGTGGAGCCAAAAAGCTCAACTGGAGGCCTCTCTCCCTCATAGCAAGTGAGGACGTTCTTCCAGCTTTTTTTCCTCCCAGAGAGAATACAATTTGTCACATTACGGTGTCATGAGAACCACCAACCGACCACTCACAACTCACTTTACTCTTAATTAACCAAAGGCCTCTGATCTCTCTCTCTCTCCACAGCCTATCCCTTCCCTGACCACTGCGCTAGCGGACAGGGAAAAGACAGAAAGAACGAGTTGCACGTAACTACTCTGTTACTCTCTCCAATGCAAGGCGTGATGGTGAGAAGCTTCCCTCTAGAATGGGGCTTTTCTGTTAACTCTGATTTCTTGGCCCACCGGTCCGTCCCCCTGGCCTCAGTACCCGAGAAACTGCCCTGGTTAACACAGGAGGACACTATGGCACTCCTGAGGAGAGTTGGGCCAAGCCCTCAGCGAGGGAAAGGCAAAGAAAGATGTGAACCTGCGTCTCTTCCACCTTTGAGGTCAAGTGATTTCTCCTCATCTTCTCTCGGATACTCTCCCAACCTTGCACTTCAACAGGATCATGTACACAGGTAACTCCCGTCTTCATCTCTAGAAGCCACAGGTGCATCACTAGGATGATAAACCCAGAGCACCTATAGATTCACAGAGATCGAGAAAGTTCAATTATGCCATCTTCATTAGCTCCCGGTGGTAGCACGCTTGGGCTGACGACGCACGCTCATCTTTTAGAACAAAGACTGGCCGAACCGGAAGAGATATTGGCAGTCATGCAGTTCTGGTCTCTCCGTTTTCCAGATGAGGAAATTGAGCTCAGAGAGGTAACGGGCCTCGCGGCAGGTTTGTGGCAGCAGTGGGAGGTGAGAACCCAGGTTTTCCAGTGCCCAGACTTGCCTCCTCCTAACACCCCATGGTCTGTGCCTTCTGCAGCCCACGCTTCCATCACACTCGAGAATAAATATCAGTCCTGTTGGCGCTCTGTTGGTCAACTTTCCTTAGGACTGTATTTGATTAGAGGTTGCATTTAATTTGGATTCGAGTATAGAAAAACCATTAGTTTCCTTACACTGAACGTACAGACCCTAAAGGGATCGTAAAAATTAACTACATCTGCGGGTAGAAGCTGACCCGGGTGGGGGGGGGGGGGAGTAAAAACCAGTTGAAGTCCATTTGGTCTGTGTATTTCATGAAGTTTAATAATCATCGTTTACCTCATTTGGTGATTTTACAAAGCTAGTTGGGGAAACATTAAAAAAACACTGCTATCTTAAAATGACAAGTTTGTTTAAAAATACTAATACAGGATTTACTGTAGTAACAACATACATGAAGGTAAATAATTCATTCTCATTTTCTAACCCAACTGGCACGAAAATACCTTTATTTTGGCTAATATCTTTGTAAAGGCATAAAAAATACATATTTAATTCACCCAAGGGACAAACATAAGCTATAACTCACTCCTTATGGCTCTCCTGAATGAATTTCTGCCTTCTATAAAATTTGAATTTATACTTGCTACATGTTCCAGAGTTCCAAGTGGTACTTTTTTGTGTGTGTCAATAGTTACCCCTGTTTTGAATTTGCCATTGACCTAATCTTTACACCACTTCTTCTAGTTAAAAAAAAAAAAAACTCTGCTGTTGAATACCCTCAAAATCACCCCCGAAGTTATGTACTTATTTTATCTATTAATATCCATGAGCACTTAAATGTAAAGTGCTAGGGGCGCCTGGGTGGCTCAGTTGGTTACGCATCTCCCTTTGGCTCAGGTCATGATCTAGGGGTCCTGGGATGGAGCCCTGCTTCTGGCTCCCTGCTCAGTAGGGAGTCTGCTTCTCCCTCTCCCTCTGCCCCCCCGCTTGTGTGCACATGCACACTCTCTTTCTCAAATAAATAAA